TAAATAGTTAGCATGCAATCACCAGAGGGAAAATCTAACCAGATATCAGCGAAAGGGATAGGAATATGTTTGACCTGAGAGATGCTTCCATTTCACCATGCCCAGAGCCCGGATTTATTTTTCCAGTATGATTCATGTACCTAAAATAAGAAGCAGATTATATTAGAAGCTGATGTTCTAATATTGACTTGAAAATCCTGATCTTTAAGCAAAAAACCTTTTATTCAGAGTTACTTCATTCATCATTCATACTCACACTATATTGAGTATTTTCTTTATATCAGACCTGTGCCGGGTGCTAGGAATCCAAAGATAAATATGACCTGGCCCCTGATATTTTGTGTCTAGAGCAGATACAAGATTTAACATATTAATTTAAGATTAATCCACATGCTATTATAATCCAATGGTGCCTATATCCCAGTATATTTAAAAACAAGAGGAGCCTGGGATTTTGAGAAGACTCATGGAGGAAGTGATGTCTGAGCTGGGTTTTGAAAAGAAGAGAGGGGAAGACCTTCTAGAAGAGGAAACAATATATGAAAGGTGCATGGGGATTTTTGACATCTGATGAACATCCTCTGACTGAGAAACATTGAATTCACAGTGTAGGATTGGTGGGGACAGGGACGAAAATGGGTTGGAGAACTATTGGCTAATAATGCTTAGATTATTATTATTATTATTATTATTGACTAATAATGCTTAGACAGGGCCCAGACATAAAGCTACTTTACAGAAGGCACAATTCTCTCACGATTCATCCCAAGATTCATGTAATATATGAATGACTGATTTTGCCTTCTAAAATAGAAGTCGAACTCATAGGTATATAGATGAGCTGCAGTGTTTATAGCTATGAAATCTACTATTTCTCTGGCCATGTTTAGCACAAACACACGCCAAGTTATAGCCACATCTGTAATTGAAATGGTTTGCCCTCAAGATAATCTGGATAGATGCTGGAGAAGCAACATAGTTAAAGTGAGTGCCAGTGAGATGGCCAAATGAGACAAGTCACCCCAAAATAATGTAAGGAGTGGCAACCAACACTTTACAGTGAAATTATGTTGTAGAAAACTCTACTCTCATATTCCGTCAGCCCATCACGTGACCTGGAAGGTGGAAATCCCCAAACCAAGACACCATCATGCCCAGAATTTCTCTAAGCATCCCCTGACCCTGTATGCCTTGTTGCTAGACCCAGGGCCAGAAGGCTGAGAGTGGGGTCAGAGGTCATAGGGTGAGTTCCTCCTGTATCCTCCAGCCACAGAACTCACTTTATCCCAGGCCTTCCTCCACATGTGAGGGGAGGACATATGCATTAGTGAGACAGAGTATGGAAATAAGCTACTCCTGGACATGATTTTTCACTGACTTAGATCCAGAGTGAATAAAAGACCTTAGGTAGTAAGTAGCAAAACCGCAGAGCATCAGATGTCTAAGAGAGTGTTGCGGTGTGTGACACGAAGCGCCTGCGGGGCACGCTGCCCCAGATCCACAGCCGCCTACTCCACCGCCTCCTGGCACCTCTCTCCCCTACAGACAGTCTGGACAGGTGGCCGCGCCTAGAGTGCTGGCCCGAGAGGCCGCCGCCGCCAGCTCTGCAGCCTGTCTGCCCGGAGTGCTGGAGAGCTGACCTCCACCAGAGCCTCAATGACAGCCAGCTGGGGACGTCAGTAAAACTCATTATAAGTGATAGCAGCCTTCAACGCAGGCGTGCGACTCAGAGAAGTAATTCCTCCAACCCCTCCCAGGCAGCTTTGGTGAAATTAAAGTGGGGATTGACATGCTCACGAATTTCCTATTTCCTGCCTGTGTTTATCAGAAATCTAGGTCATGATGGTGCCTCTCATTCACGTCCTCGCTGGTAAATGCCTTAGAAGGGCAAAACCTAAAGTTGGCAGCCTCCCTCCTTTTTCTTCCCGCTCCATGCCCTGTGGAAGAGGAAGTGTCACAAAGGACAACCACACTGACACTCTGGTCTCAAGTGACTTCAGCACCTAGTCAAGAGGCCACGTCTGAGCTCTGCTGATGCTCACACCTGCTGTCATAAGCAAGGGGATGATTAGCTATGTGCCTGCCCTAAGCAGAGCAGCAGGCATGGTCTAGCATCAGTCAGAAATCCCTTGTCAGTTTCACCTTTTCTTGTTGACGTCTGAAGGTCACCTGGTGCTGCTGTGATGTACTGACTGGGTGTCCAGAAGCAAAGCCCCTCCTCTCCTTTCTCTCCAGTCTCCTAAGTACAAGTCAGAGTTTTTCCAGAGATAACACTAAGATTAGTAAAGAAATCATCACCTATATCAATGTTTCTCATCTAAGAACAGTTTTTATGATTTTATGAGATTAGAGTTTAACATTTTGTTGAAAAATGTTTTCAGTTTTTTAAAAGAAAATAATTACCTATGATCCCAGCATCTTAACATAATTATTTTCATTTCACATGTTTGGTTCCAGTCTCCAACAACAGCTAGACATTGTTCCTAGTTGTGATCAGTATGTAAATAATGTTCATTTCTCTTGTTTGTTTTTCCACTTAAAATCGAATGTTTGTAATTATACTTAATGCCTAGCAGCATATATTTTGCAGGGTTGCTAATCTGTGATTTCTTTATTTAATGTTTTACCAAAGAAGGGAGGACATTTATTTAGTTCCTTGTATTACATTCTTAGGGCTTCATTAGTGGCTCAGTTAGTAAAGAATACACCTGCAATGCGGGAGACCACCTGCAACCCAGGAGACCCAGGTTCAATCCCTAGGATGGAATGATCCCCTGGAGAAGGAAGTGGCAACCCACTCCAGCATTCTTGCCTGAAAAATCCCATGGCGTGAGAAGCTTAGCAGGCTACAGGGCATGGGGTCACAGAGTTGGACATGATTGAGCACAAAGTTCTGTCTTTCTCTTCTATTACGTTCTTACAGATTATAGTATATACAGTTTTGCTTCCTTTTGAATTTTTTAGGAGTAACTCCAAAAGTGGGACGGCTTGTTCTTAGTATGGACTGCCTTACAGGCTTTTTTAAAAGGATGACACCAATTATGGTACCACTGCTAGGACCCATGACCATTTTCGTTATGTACTAAAAGACCCGAAAGAGATGCTAAACTTATGGGGAAATTGTTTTTGTTTGTTGGTGAACTCTTTTCCATTTTTATTGATCTTTACTGGGCAGGCTTGAATAGAATCCTAAGGAAGAAAAGAATGAAAAATTCAGAGTGGGTAGTCTTGCAGAATAGATCCTGGTCTGTGACTCAGTAGTTTTTCCTTCACTTGTTTCTATTTCTGGTGGAGTGAGGATACCCTAAGAGGATGAGATGCTGGTAGGTCTGCGCTCAGAACAAAAGCTGCTTTCCCTTAGTGAGGGGACAACTAGAGACGAGACAAAGAAAGAATTCATGAGAGCCACAAATAGCCTGATGGCTGACTGTGTCAGGAGAGGCATCCACCTAATGCTAAGCCTTTGGAGTCTGTTTGGGAGAATTCTTTCTCATCTGGAATTCTGAAATCTAGCAGCAGTGATCTCATCTTTCTGCCTTCCATCTTCTTTCTGGAGTATTCTTGCTGTGAGTTACTGGCCAAAGACAAATCTTCTGACAGATGTTGAGGTAGAGAATGATGTGGAGAGATCTACCTCCCTAAGAGAGAATGCTTGTGGGTGGTTACTGAGAATGCAGCTCCCAGATCATACCATGAGGGAAAGGGGCAGTCATCAGCGGTGCCTCATAGACACAGAGATAGAAGGTAGGCTAGCACATGTGTGTTGTAGTGATACAGAGCATCGATATGGACTCACTTGGCTCTCTCCTCCAAATTAGGAGTTGTTAGGGTGTCAAGAGGGGCCTCCCTCGAGGCTCAGATGGTAAGGAATCTGCCTGCAATGGAGAAGACACAGGAGATGCAAGTTCGATCCCTGGATCAGGATGATCCCCTGGAGAAGGAAATGGCTACCCACTCCAGTATTCTTGCCAGAAGAATTCCATGGATAGAGGAACCTGGTGGGCTACAGTCCATGGGGTCACAAAGAGTTGGACATGACTGAGCAACTAACACACACACACAAACACAAAACAGCGTGCTGAGATGTGCAGTGACTCTCATCTTCCAAAGACTGTACCTGCTGACTGCTCAATCCAGTCGAATAATCATTATATCCATTATTGCATAATATGTACAATTTGAGAAGTATATTTTAACGTATGTATTAGGTACAACACTGAGTGTCTCAGCCAAGGTCATCCAGCTACAATGGAATAACAGCGTCACTTAGTCCTTGGCCCTTTGGGTCTGTCTCACAGTCTGTACTGTGAATGAACCCAGGCACTCGAATGAAGAGACATTCACCAATGAATGAATCCAGCTATCCTGCCACTTGGGCCCATACTCTCCTTTATAGCCTGCAGCCACTATAGGATAAAACTAGGTTTGGTATAGCCTTTGATCTACAGTAGTTTAGAGATCAAAGGGCAGGCATACTACCTAAAGATAGTGGATTCATCCAGAAGCCTCATTACCTCCTATGTAGCTTCCATGTTTTAGGAAGTTTGTACCCTCTATGAATATCTGTCTTTTTGCAAATGACAGAAGATAGAGCAGCCAATAATGTTGCTGATTGTCAAAGAGTTTACTGCTTTCCATGGTCTCCCTGGGAGGGAGATGCTGAAGATAGGAAAGTAGCACAGTTTTGGGGCTGTGTGGCCTTGGACAGCTCACTTAACCTCTCTGAGCTCCTTCCCATAAAAGAGGAATGATAACACTTGTTCCATGCACTGTCTTGAGAATTAAACGAATTGGTTCATACAGACCTACCATGAACAGAGAGAAGGAAATGTGTTGTGAATCTTGAAAAATATCATCCTTCTTCCCATCAGCCTCAATACTGCTCCACTTGCCTGGACCCACTATAGGCACTATTCCATGTTCAATCTGCAGCCATTTATAACTGGAAAACAAAACGTGCAAATTGTCTTCAATGTGGTGTTTTCTCTAATCTCTTGCAGGAGGTTCTTGAACTTGCTTTCTCGATCTTGTATGACTCAAACTGCCAACTGAACTTCATAGCTCCTGACAAGCATGAGGTAAAGGTCTCCAGGGGTTAATTTATGAGAGAATGTCATATTTTCTTGAGAAAAACAGCAGATAAAAAAAATACTGGAAAGAATTTTTTTTTTAAAGTCTACCTGAGAAGAATTATGAGCAAAGGCACATTTTGTTGACTTGGAATAGAATGAAAATCTCTCAAAAAACTGCAAATTAAAACAGATTCAACTTCTTCTTAGCTTAATCAAGATTTTATGGTAAAGAAGAAGGTATGAATCCTTCATAGGAAGGACGTAACTGTTACAGAAAAAGTATCATCCTTAGCTATTGCTTGGTTTTTATTGAATATTTAGGTTTTGGTCAAAATTTTCCCATGATAAATTTGTCTCAATTCTCTAAAATGTTTAAGAACTAGATTTTTTACCATGTTTAAGTTATTTTAAGAGGTTTAGGACTGTCTCTGCTGTTGGAATTTTTTTTTTGAGATGCTTTTATTCCTTTTTGACATCTTGTTATATGTATAATTTGTTTCTCTTCTCGAAGCACACTGTCAGCTATATTTAAAATATTTAGCATAAATCTAGGAAAATGCATTTGTAAGATGAAGTAGCAGCTATGGCTGATTTAACTTTTTCTCTTGTAAACTAAAACCCAACATCATGCTTGAAACTCTTATTTTTAGATGATACCATTCAAATTTTTGTTGTACATGTGGTATCATAAAAAGCTTTTAGAAAGGAAGGAACATTTTAATAGAACTTGAATTTTGTTCCCCATTTCCCTAGGGAGACTCAACTCATTTAGAAGTTATTCTGTATTTGTTTTTGTTTTTTACTGGTTTGAAGCTTTTGAATAAAATTGTACATCCCAAAAAGAGAAGAAAGATTAGATGCAAATCCTGCATTTAAAGTGGTGCTTAAATATAATTCTGTGTTACTTGACATTTAGTTCATGGAAGGGAATGACTTTGTCTTCATCTTCTTGAAAATAGATACCGTGTCCTACCATTTCTCTTTTTAAATAAAATTGTGGTTGTACACAGGCCACCATATTCAAGATATATACAGATATATAGGAAACCACTTAAAATAGTAGAACTGTGGATGCTATTTAAATCTATACAAGGCTGTTTTGCCCAGTGTACATTAATTCCAGATAAGGATAAATGCTCTGAGACTGCCAAATTTTTATTCATATCTGCCACTTTTTATTGATGCAGTGAGGAGGAAAATGCCATGCACTTGTGAATACTTTTAATTTCTTCAGACCACTTTCATATCTATTACCTCATTTTATTTGCATAATTGCTCCATAAAGCAGAAAGTTCTATTACAGATATCCTCATTGATCAAAGGAGGAGAGAGGAGCCTCCCAACATTGACTACCTCAACAGTAGTAAAGACAATAGTAATTATAACTGGAATACTCTGAGCCAGGCACCACTCAATGCTTTGTGTGCCTCACCTCCCTCAACCTTCATTCTGTAACTGTAAAAGAAACAAGCTAATGTTATTTCCATTTTATTTAAAAAAAGTAATGAGCCACAGAGAACTTAAGAAACATTTCCCAGATCAAACAAGTAGTAAGTGATAGAACCTGAATTTAAACCCTGGGGATCTTGTTCCAGAAACACCTTCAATCTGAGCCCCGTCCTGCATGGCTTGGAAGGAAGAAAGCAGGACCTGGACTCAGAACTTCTTGCCAGTGTCCATCCCCTAGCTTCAGCAATTATCAACTCATAGCCAATGAGGTTTCCCCTATTCGCCCACCCACACCCAGCTTCCATACCCCAGATTATTTTCAAAGCTCATCCAGATATCGTCATTTTATTTGTAAATATTCCCCTTGTGCATCTCTAAAGACCCGATGGACTGTAACTTGTCAGGCTTCTCTGTCCATGGGATTCTCTAGGCGAGAATACTGGTGTGAGTTGCCATGCCTTCCTCCAGGGGATCTTCCCAACCCAGGGATTGAACCCATGTCTTTTATGTCTCCTGCATTGGTAGACGAGTTCTTTACCACTAGTGCCACCTGAGAAGCCCTATATTTTAATAGGTTACCATTATTGCCATTATCAGTGCCCAGATTATCTTATCTCGAGAAAGTCAATCTGGCCCCATCACTTGATGGCAAATAGATGGGAGTAAAAAATGGAAACAGTGACGGACTTTATTTTCTTTGTCTCTAAAATCACTGTGGATGGTAACTAAAGCCATGAAATTAAAAGACACTTGTTCCTTGGAAGAAAATCTGTGACAAAGCCAGACAGTGTATTAAAAAGCAGAGACATCACCTTGCCAACAAAGGTCTGTATAGTCAAAGCTATGGTTTTTCCAGTAGTCATGTATGAATGTGAGAGTTGAACCGTGAAGAAGGCTGAGTGCTGAAGAATTGATGCTTTTGAACTGTGGTGTTGGAAAAGACGCTTGAGAGTCCCTTGGACTGCAAGGAGAGCAAATCAGTCAATCCTAAAGGAAGTCATCCCTGAGTATTCATTGGAAGGACTGACACTGAAGCTTCAATACTCTGGTGACCTGATGTGAAGAGCTGACTCACTGGAAAAGATTGAGGGCAGGAGAAGAAAGGGGCAACAAGATGAGATGGTTGGATGGCATCATTGACTCAATGGACATGAGTTTTCACAAACTCCAGGAGACACTGAAGAACATGGAAGCCTAGCATGCTGCAGTCCATGGGGTGGCACAGTCGGACATGACTGAGCGACTGAACAACTACAGAGAAAGTAGGAATACCTTCTGGTTGGCTTCTGAGTCCTATTGACAGATGACTCTGGCAGCTTTCAGGCATCCTGGCATGACAAGATACTCCAGATTCTTCTTGTGCATTTCCTGCCTTTTCTCTATGGAGTTTTGACTCCTTTTGTTATTTAGCAACCAGAATCTGGACATTCAATGCCTGTTACTACTGGGTTGGTGATTATTTTTAGGCATTTTTGGAGACAGAGCTTGGAGTTATGTTTTTAAAAGACAAAATCCATCATAAATTTATATTGAAATTTCCAACTCAGATTCAGTACTACATTTTTGTTTATTGATCGTGATGCTTTTTTAAAAAGTTTTCTGTGCTTGCTGCTTCTCAAAAGAAAAGCACCACAAAAGTGTTCTTGTGGGTTAAATTAATCTGTCCTAGGAGCTAGCCAGGACTGGGAAGGCTGTGTACAAAGAGTGGCAGCCCCAGCACTTAGGGATTTACATGAAACAGTGTCTAAATAGGAAGGGGCCTTAAAGAGCATGGGGTTCAGTGGTGCTTCTAAATGGAGATACGTCAGAATTAGCTGGAAGCTTTTCTAAATAAAACTTCCTGACCTAAGATTTATAAGATCAAGATCTACAGAGTAGGACCTGGGTATCTATTTTTATCAAGATTATTTATGAAGAAAGACACGTTTAGATGTGTCTAGAATCTATCTAGGAGAAGGAAATGGCAACCCACTCCACTGTTCTTGCCTGGAGAATCCCAGGGACGGGGGAGCCTGGTGGGCTGACGTCTATGGGGTCACACAAAGTCGGACACGACTGAAGTGACTTAGCAGCAGCAGCAGAATCTATCTAAGGTATTCACTAGATCACTAATACTTCCAGAAACCCCTTAGTCCTCAGCTGATATTTAGATGGGTTAAGTGCTCTGCCTGAGATCCCATAGTCAAGGCTGAACTGAAGCTCTCCAGTTCACGACTGCCCTGCTCAGCTTAATAACACACCCATGGTACACTCCTTGGCTTAACAAGGGGCACCACCAGTGTGCATCAGGGTAGATTTCTAAGCCATCATTGTGACTTAAGATCTGTATAGTGCTTGCCATCTTGTAGTGCTTTTATGTTGAGATCTGCTATCATATTCTGGAACATAGCCCAGGTAACCACAGGGCAAAGGACAAGCCAAGTAGGGTCTGGAATTGCAACTTGACCCAGTAAAGGCAAGAAAGGAATCTAGAACACATTCTAGAAGGAAGACCAGTCCTACAGGAAGAGCAGTGAAATTGCTATCAAAGAAGTCCTGTATAGGACTGGGACATCCTAAAAGGTGAACCAAGCACAATATCCAGAATGCAGGCAGTTTTCTGATGCTGGTAGCAGAGGCTAGTGCTTCCCCAGGTATTATGGCTTTAATACCAGATCAGGGCAGGATTTGAGCCTCTGAAGGGAAGCTAACAAGAGCAAGGCAGGTCCTCAGATAAATGAAGCATAGTTCATAGCCTACTGGAGAAGCAAAGGGCATGATTAATTTTTAATGAGAGGGGAAGAACCAAATTCTCAGCAGGGTACTATGGAGTGCTTTCCAAAACAGGTGATGTCCCCAAGGACCAGACTCCAAAGACCTGGAGGAGAAAACCCTTAGAAACCAGAAACCCAGGCAGAAGAGGTCCGTAGACTGGCAGCTAAGCCACTTTCCATTAAGATCACCCAATAATTTTAGCCATTTTGTCTACCAGACCTTGGGCAGCACTGAGCTATTCCTAAATCTTTTGCTAAGAAATACAAAGGTGGGACCACCATTAGCCCCAGTGGGGTTCGGCTGTCATTTTGAGTGCAGGAATCAAACAGGATAGTCAGATATTAGCTCTAGATTAGGAACTTTGCTTGGAGTCAGGAGAGTGGCAAGTTTGATCTGATGTTGAGTCCAGGAGTGTTAGGATATATTCTACCAATACCTTTAACTCTTTGATTCACTGGTGGGATGTTAGAGATATTCTATTGCACAGGCAGAAAAAACTCAAATCCTGCTGCTGCTATGCAGGGAGGCATTATTTGTACAGAAGAGTGCAGACAATGGAGGCAGATTGCATAAGTTCAAATCCCACCTACTCCACATACTACCAAGTGACTTAATTTCTCATTGTCTCAGTTCCCTCATCTGTAAAACAGAGATGCTAACAGAAGTGTCAACTTTATAGAGGTGCTGACTATCAGATGATGATGTAGGCAAAGCCCTTAGCACAGAGCCCAGCCCTTGCTGAGTGATCAGTCGGTGTTAGCAATTGTTATTCCTCTTGTAATTGTCATCAGTCGTTCTCATTGTCATCTTCTTTCTCCCCAGTACTGTATCTGGACAGATGGGCTGAATGCGCTACTGGGGAAAGACATGATGAGTGACCTGACACGGAATGACTTGGACACGCTGCTCAGCATGGAAATCAAGCTCCGCCTCCTGGACCTGGAAAACATTCAGATCCCTGACGCGCCTCCACCCATCCCCAAGGAGCCCAGCAACTATGACTTCGTCTATGACTGTAATTGAAGCACCCTGGGCCCAGATGCACCCCCCTCCAAAACTGGAAGATTTAGCTAATAGGAGAGAAGAATGAAAAGGCGCCCACACTGTGGAATCCACTGTGGTCAAGGGACGCTGTGGGTCCACACTTCCTTTGGCCTTGCCTCCTCTAACTCTGGCATTTTTCTGCCTCTCCCTGGCATCCTGCTCATCACCCTGATTCTGTTTCTAGACTCCATTGCTTTAGGTCACCTCCCGTCGCTGCAGTCGAAGGTGGGAGAAAAGCAAAATCCACCGCCAGTGAGAGAGCCAAAGGGCCCTTCCATCTTCATTCCAGCAGGCAAGTCCTCCCCTCCTAAAGGCTGCAAGTCAGTGGCCCAGACCTCCTCCCAATCTGCAGCCAGACACAGGGGTGTGCCCCAAGCTCTGAGTCTGGAAGAACCGGAAACGGTCTAGCCACTTGAGAAGACAAACACCACCCCTTGTTCCCGTTCTCTCTAGGGTCTGCTCACACCACCAGTTCCATGTGAATTGAAATCTGCTTCTAAATGCCCTCCTTTTCCCATCCTGGCCTCTGCCTGCCTGGTTCCTCTCTGGTTCCAAGAGCAGCAGCGGTTGCCTCATCCTAGTTCTCACAAGCGTTGGGTCACCAGACACAATCTGAGGGTCCCGTGGCCACATCACGTCTGCCCTGTGGCTGTGACCACCCTTCCTGTCTCTCAGCTAGTCTTGGGTTTCTTCTCCCTGCTCCAGCCCTGACCTGCCTTCCTCATTGCCACACACTCCTCCAGCCCCTTAGCTGAAAGCACAATGCTGAACTCAGTTGTCCTGCTTCATCTCTAATGTACTAAATCTAAAAGCCTCGATGACAGGCAGTTGCTATCTAAGGGTCTGGGGGGGTTCTGCTGCAACACAGGTTCCACAAGATGGTCAAGCTGTCAGACATCCAAGTTTACATCGTTGTAGTTATTACAGGTATTGACAATTTGCAAAGGGTTTGGGTTGTTGGTTTTGGGGGTTGGTTTTTTTTTTTTTTTTTTTGCTTTGTTTTTGTATAAAAGAGTCTAACATTTTTTGCCAAACAGATATATATTTAATGAAAAGAAGAGATACATAAATGTGTGTACTTTCCAGGTTTTTTTTTTTGTTGTTTAATTATTTGAGTCCTAAACATCTTCCTGAGAATAACATTCCCCTAAACATGCTGTGGAATAAAATTAATTGTGATGAGTTGGAGAGCTGGTGTTTTGATTTGGTAATTTAGGTTCTTGCTGCTCAGTGATCAGCATCACTGAGAGCTTCTTGAAACTGCAGAATCTAAACCTCACCCCAACCTTGAAAAATCAGGTGATGCTCATGCATATTAAAGTTTGAGAAGCACTGGCTTTGGGGACTCTTGACCTTCGCTGGATCACCATAGGCTGTGAGCATCAGTAAAAAGTGATACTGCTAAGAAGACCATCTCAAGTCAGCTAGAAAATCAGACCCACTTCGTAAAAATATAATGGAGGGACTTCCCTGGTGGTTTAGTGGTTAAGACTGTGCTTCCACTGCAGGGGCATGGGTTTGATCCCTGGTCAGGGAACTAAGATCCCACATGCTGTATAGTGATCATATTAATTACTTTTTAAAAACAGATATTAAAAAAATTAAAATATATATATTTATAATCTATTCATTTTACACTATTACCTCCTGACTGTGACTTTATCTTTTATTTTTTCTTACTTACCATTATATAATTTATAAAACTGACCAAATGAAATGGACCATATTTTGAAGGCACAGATTTAGCAATGGAAAAGAATGCAGACCCACAGACCAGAAATAAATCAAGCCAGAACTAGATAAATCTAACCATGAATTAATGAAATATGGGTCAGAGCCCAGCAAAGGATTTTTCTGAGGTTATTTCCATTGGAGGCATATCTGTATCATAAACTCCAACAGCTGGAAGAAATGTCAGGAAGGTCCAAATGATGTGGAATTCCCAGCACAAGCCACTCTTGACTCATGGCAGAGTTGTTAGATGCCTTCAGGTCACTGCTCATTATTGTCACCAAGATGTGCAATTACAGGCTAACCTAAGTTGAGATGATATGAACCCTCCATAAATTACAGGAAAAAAAATTTCCTTTATGATCCATAGCAATCCCCAAGTAATTATGCTTCCCATCAATGCACTCATGCCTGAGTGTCAGGTTGAAGCTTCCTTTACATTAAGTTTTGATGATATTAACACAATGTCCTTCACGTCAGGAGCATTTATAGATTTACCCATCAGCCTGATAAAATGATAAATGGTAGGTAAATGAAAGGAGACAGAGTCAGACCATTTGTTACTTAGGAGTTACCAGACTTCATTGATGAAAAGGGGAATTTTTTGGACCAAGATACCCGAGATCTGGAGAGTCTTGCTGGGAAGAACAAGCCCTTCTCTCTTCTGTTGCTCTTGCTTTGGTGCATTAAATAGAAACTAACTCTTTCATGGCTATTAAGAAGAGCATTCTTCCACCTTGTAGACCCGCCTTTCAAGGACTAGTGAGATCCTGAGAGTATGACCTCATTCCTTCATTTTGTGGCAATGTGATGCTGGGTTACTGTCCACATTTGGCCACCCCATCTTCTCAGCCTACACTGCCCAGGGCTTTCCCAGCCAGTAAGCCTCCCACCCCCCAGCTCAGCCCCCGTCGCCACAGGATTCTAGGCCTGGACAAATTAGCCAAGCCAAAGGAACACTGAAGGAAGAGCCCAGTTTTGTCATTATGGCTAAGCCGCATTCTCCAATTCAGCTTTACCTGAATAAAATTGATCATTGAATTTTAATCTATTGGTACTTTAGTTCCTCTCTTGCTCTTATTCAGAAGCTATAGGGAGAAGGGTAATTAGTTGGCATTCTCAAACTCAAAAGTGACTACTAAGGATAGGAAAATCTGATGACTATTGCAGAAGAAAAAGTGCATGGCTGAATGTTTCTGGAGTCTATTTGCAAATCCACTCTAAACCACTTTTCAGCTATCAGCTAAATTGCTTCTTACCTGCCTGTTCTATAATGAACTGAGTAGTTGACATATATACCTTTGTTCCATCTTGTCATAGTTATGAAATATTTGGCTTGCCCAATGGCTCAGTGGGTAGAGAATTCACTTGTAATAAAGGAAACATGAAAGACATGGGTTCAATCCCTGGGTGAGAATTAACATAAACCTTTAACTTAAAGGAAATAAATGTTCATACAATAATAAAAAAAATGTTTGGAGCTAGACACTAGGAATGCAACAAGAATAAAATTTGTAAAATCAGAAAAGTTATAATCAAGTAATTTAATTGAAAAACCAAATCATTGAAGGGAGCTGGGATGGGAGACTTTAGGAAATGATAGCAAGGGGGGATCATGAGACAGTGAGTTTGCTGAATTTCTCCAATCAAAGAAATGAGAGCCATTTACCTCATTCTAAAATGGAAATTTCATGATTTGAGAAGCGTGAGGATGATGGGGCTGGAAATGGTCATCACTCCATAAATAAATCCCCTCCAGCCCTTTGGTCCTCTATCCATGCCCTCTCCTTCTCTCACATCCTCTCCTTTCCTTTTTGATACACAGTGGCTGAATGATCCACTGGTAGTAGAGTTAAACTACATGGCATATTTCAACCAATTCAGCCTGTTTTATGAAAAAGGAAAATAATAATCAAAGGAGGAAAGAAGAACATTTTTAATTTGAACTTACTCTTGAATTAAATATTTGAGGCAACTTGCAATAAAACCACAATTTAAAATAAATTTGGGTATAGGTGGGTGGAACAAATATGGTATAATTCTATATGAAAATGTAGCAATACTCTATATTTTAATGGAATGAAATTTTTTCTGACATAAAAACGTAAAATATAAAATGAACACTTTGAGTGTTTTTTTTTCTTTTAATTCAGAAAAATAATCAAAACACACCCAAATGAAGGAAGGAGATAATTCTACCAGAAACATGATGCAAATAGAGGTGATACCCTTGAACGTTAATCTAAATCTGGGCTTCCTGGACGTCAGTGTAAACAAGGAAGCAAGTTGGGATATATAGCTCTCATTTTAAAATTAAATTTCTATCACCTCATAAGAAAATATCCTTTTCCAGGCACCAAATCTCAGAGAAGACGTGCTATTAAAAGCACTTACCACCTTCAACAGGCTTCTCTGGTGGCTGAGACGGTAAAGAATCTTCCTGCAATGCAGGAGACCCAGGTTTGATTCCTCAGTTGGGAAGATCCCCTGGTGGAGGGCATGGCAAACCACTCCAGTATTCTTGCCTGGAGAATCCCATGGACAGGGGAGCCTGGTGGGCTACGTCCATGGGGTCGCAAAGCATTGAACATGACTGAGCAACTAAGCACCGTCGATAAATACTTCTTAGCAGATGCTATTTGTCTGTCGTCCTGGTTTTTGTGGAATGGAAAGAGTCACCCTTGCAACCCCTTGAGGGGTGAAAGTGATGGGAATCAGAGAAGGAGCCTTCTGAATGCTGGAGTCAGCGTAGGGACTCCTAACAGAGTCCCTAACAGAAGAGTCGGAAGAGGATTCTGGGAGTCAGGCAACCAGGGAAAGTGTGGCCAGAACAAATGGCTCAGGAATGAATGGAGTGGGCCCAGGACTAGGAGATGTGCTGGGCAGAGAAGAGCAGGGTCCAGAACCAAATCTCGTGCATTTCCATCAGGCTCTCACTGTGCACCATGCACAGGGTACGGGGATACAAACGTAAACAAGAAATGACCCTGCCTTCCAGAGGCTCACGGCCTAGAACAGGAAGGACAGACAAATAAGTGCAACCCATGGCTCAAAGGGCCACAATGTAGAGAACGCTGAGCGGGAGGCGACTGCTTCCACATAGAGGGAGTGAGACCTGAGCCAGGCTTGGAAGGATGAGCAGGAAGCCACCAGGTGGCTAGGGAAAGAAGGGCAGGCTCATTCCGTACTCATCCTGTGGGTTCCAGTTTGGTCGTCACTTTCCCCGGACATCTAAGTTAAGGTTGTGGGCTCCTGCTCTGTGCTCCCACAACCACCTCCGCCTACCCTGTGGTGATCATAAGAGTTTTTCCACTGTCTTCCTCACTGGCTGGGAGCCCCATAAAAGAAGACACCTGGCCAGTTGTTCTCACCACTCTTATGCCCACCTTGAACCCAGTGCTGGGCACCTAACTGCTTTCCTTCAGCGCTAAGAGAATTGATCAAGGGCGTGAGCCATTAGAAAGTTCGAAAGGATTATGGCTGGAGCAGACATGAGTGTGGGAGAGAGAACAGTAAGAGATGAGCTTGGAAAAGAGGGCAAGGACCTTGAATGGCAGGCCTGGAAGCTGGAACTATATTCTTTATGTGGCCAAAGCCACTGACATAGATACTTCGGTAAATAGCCATGACCTGTCACTACTTTCGATCTGGCCACAGCACAAGAGGCAAGTTGAGGAAGAATGGATCTAGAAGCAACAAGACCGGGTTAAACATGTGTCCAGGGTGACTCATTCTTTTTTTTAAACTTTTTATAATTTTGTTTATATAAGTTCAATATCACTACAACATTCTGCCAATGTGGCAATAACACGTTGCTGGACAAAGTCCCTTAGTGGAAACGTAAGTGACAAAACTAGGATTTGAATCCAGATTCTCTGGATCCAGCTTTTCTTTCTTTGTTTTTCCAAGCCATTTTATTTAGTTAGTTATTTACTATTGAACTGTCATCGGCATGCAATATTATATTAGTTTTAGGTGTGTAACGTAGTGATTTGATACTCTTCTACGTTAAGGAACAATCACCAGGATAAACCTAGTTATCGTCTGTCACATACAGAGTTATTACAATATAATTGACTCTATTCCCTATGCTGTACATTACATCCCATGACTTATTTTACAGTTGGAAGTAAGGGTGCTTCTCTTTTAAGAAGGCTTAGCTTAATTACTAGCTAAGTAATTACCAATCAAATTACTAGGATCAAACTGAGTTCAGAAAAGAATATGTGTGTGTGCTGTGACAGAGGTGAAATTGATTGTCATTGCAAGGACAGAAAAAGGAAAATGATATATTTTTGAAGTCTAATATGTAAAGACAAAATTAAAAACCAGACCAAATCTTTCTCAGATTGGCTGGAAAAGCAAAATCTGGTCAAATACTGGTTACAAAATATCTGCCTAAAATAAAATGACATGGAATAGTTGAAAATACAGAGATGGGCAAATACCAGCAAATA